GAGATTTGGCTTCCGGGTTTTAATGATAGAGGTTTCGTGACCGTAGTTTTCTGAAAACCTGGAATTGTTAAGGAGTGATAGATGGTGTAAAAGGCTTCTTTCGTTCGTTGAAAATTCTAATTATCCATTCTAGTAGAGTATAAAATACTTCTTTCGTTAATTGAAATACTATTGTAGTAAAAATACTGTTATATTGCAATTAGTGCATTGTTTTAATTTTGATACCTATTAATTATGAAATATGTGTTGAAAGTATTGATAAAAAATGAATATAGTAAATGTATCCCATGCGACCAAATTACCAAAAGCATCATCAGCGCTATAATAATTATGTTTGCGAATGCAAAATTCGAAATATCGAAAATAATAAATTTAGTAAATGAATAAACAATATAATTGCAATAAACCGAATCATTAATTATTGCATAATTAATTTTTTTCCAAATTAATTGTTCACAACCCACCCTAACCGTTTCTCTAATTACTAATTACATTATTTCATCGAAATCGTATACGCATAAGTTCCACTCACACAAAATCTGTCTCGATTTCCCACACCAACGGCCGTTTTAATTGTGAAAATTTCTCGAATTTTAAACGGTTTCCATCGAAAAAACATCTTAATCTCTTTTTACGCCGGCGGCGATGCGCTTTAGCACGAACCGAGGCCGAGACGAAAAAGAGAACAAACAATATTTCTCATTCAACTTTCAAACAATGGGCATTCTTGAGTCCTAATATCTGAAAGAATTTCGATTCGATTTCGAACAAATAGGAACGCAAATAAACCGCAACGAAAATTCAGCCACTGTTAAGAAACCGCCGGAAAATCCGGCGTCAATGGGCGAGGATACTTTTTCCGAAGTGAATCTTTTAAAGTTCTACGACAAGTTAATTGATTCAACTAACAATGCGAAAAGAATTGGATTAACAACTAAATCTAGCGACTGAATATCCCAATTGTTCGCTCTCGCATAAATCCCGGCTAATCTTTAATAAATAAACATCTTAAATCCTCCGCCGTGGCGAAACAATATTGCTAAATCATATATTCAAATGTTCGTACATCTACCATAAACCCTCCTTTCGCCGCTGATAACCCGAAAACACTTTAAATAATTCTGCAGGCGTTATCTGGGCTTAAATTTTCAATAGCCGCAGACCGTACGTAGGTTGCTTAAATTTCCAACGGGCCGCGGGAATGCTTCAACCCCATTAAAATCATCCTTCCGCAGGCATTATGCCGTTTTATTATATGAATATTTTTCGCTTTCGCCCGGCCGTTCGAATTAATTAGCGCGGAAATTCTGCGGTTCATTCTACTCGACTCACTTGAACCCATTCGATACAATTTAAATTACAGTTAAATATCTCTCTCTATCTTGTTAGATAGCGAGTACGAAGTCATACCGACGGTAAAGAGGTTGCGCTTAAAACGTCCATATATCATAGCTGAGAAAAGTGTTTTCGCTAAGGCCGTATTTTATATTCAGAAAGTTGGCTCCCCGTGGAAGGACGTGTCCGACATAGCAAGTGAAGTCTATGCGGCAAAGAATGAAAGATTACCTGCCATTACATAATAGGATATATCGTGCCAACTTTGTGAGAGGCAGGTCGGGGAAAAATTTAAAAAATATATACCCCAACCGCTGATTAAGTGGTACTAATCTGCGCGGCTTCGATGCGATGTTATTAACTATTGCGCATCGTGTAGAGTGGTTTTGTAGTGTGTTGGAAAAAAAGGGATGCGGGAAAAGGGGTATTATAATCTGATTGGGAAATAACAAAATAAAGCGCAGAGGAGACCAGTCCTTATCGGTCGTGTATCTTTTTTTGCCGAAACATGTATCGCTTTTTCATCTATTCCATTCGAAGCGAAAAACTATACAATCTGACTTCATAAATCCTCATAAATCAGTCCGGACTCTGCGGTATATGTGTAAACCATTCCTGGTTGGGCGTTCTCGGGGGAAAATTTACCCTGAACGACATCGGTCCGCTGAAAAACGGCTGGGTGTACGGGCGATGGGAAACTTGTAGCCGTCTCTTTTTGTTTTATTGGATCCCTCGGAGATTATATCCTGATTTTCCGTTTCGTTTCTTTTTACGGTACGGTCGCGCTCGATTGCTTAAAACTTTGATGGCGGATTTTAGGGACATCTTTGTTGGAATGTAATACGCGCTAAACGGGAACGAGCGCGGCGTTTCAATTTCTGTAGCGGATCGGTTTTTCGATATTGGGGAATGGTATTTTTCTATTTGCGTAAATATCGGTAATTTTCGCCGGCGGCCCCGGGGACGCGTTGTAAATTGGACGCGTTTTTGGACGTCGCGCCGACGCTTTTGTAATGTAAATTTGTATTACAATTGTTGGTAAATTTTATGCGATGTTCAAGCGGAATGAAAAATTATCCCGGCCCGGAAACTCATAAACATTATCTATTTCATCACGTTGACAATCACTGTGGTGCACCTACTATAGTTTGTACTGTTGCATTTTTCATTCGAATGACAGTGAAATAGTGGAAATGGTTGAAAAACATTACAATATATTTATAAATTTGTTTCACACTTACCAATATTTCAACAAAATTAGACCAACATTATTTGTATATCACAATTACAATGACTATTCATTTTTTTATAGTCATAAACAACTTCAAAATTACCCCGAATTATCGCGAGTACCACTTCACCTACTCCGATGAAAGTGTCTCATTTTTTATTTAAACTGCTCGAAAAATATGCAACAGGATGTTTGCACATATTCGTCCTCGATGCTGTTAATGGACGTTATTTCGAATGGGGCTGCATTTCAGTTTATAAACTAAAAAATAAATCCAGGTAATGTGCGAAAAATTCGCACTATAAATCACTTAGAGCAGCAAACACAATTGCGTTGCATATTAAGTTGATGTAAACCGGATTTTATGGCAATGAAATTTAAATTAATATAAATATGTATGGAAAAAGTAGGGGTATTTTTTTAGGGTTTCATGTTTTTGTACATGATTGAAATAAATTTTAATTTGGTTACATATTATTAGATTTTTAGTAAACAATAATATTTATCTTACCGTTTCATCTTATCTACAAGTATGTATTTAATTTTAATGTATCATATTTTAAAATAATTACAAAATTGCATATCAAAATTTTCTTGTCATTCTTTCTCTCCTACACTCATGAAACGAATAAAACAATCTATCTTCGGTTGCCTATTAATTAATCCTAAAGTACTGGCCTGTGTTCACCCTATATTAGTTAGAATAACTACTAAAATTTTTATTAACCTATAATTAAAAAACCCTTTATGGTAAAGAGCATTTACTCACATGAATTTTAAAAATAAGCTAATTTAGCAAGGTGAAATATTATGCGTTGGCAAAAAATTCTTGTATCTCCAGAGACCCTACTCATGTGTGCGGGAAAGTAATTCGTTGTGTGGAAAGATAAGAGAGTCGAATAAAACACGATCCTTTCGAAAATTAATTAATTTACATAGGGTACTACATCTTTCATAATATTTCCTCTGGATGTTATGCCGGCATGTATTTTTAGGCCGTAATTAATTTTTGGAGGGAGTTCACGTAAATATTTGCCAAATGGCGATTTAATAGAGGGGCTTATAGCTCCACTTGCATACCGAAGAAACTACTTAAACGTTATTAATTTTAAAATTTTCCTAATAAAAGCGCGGATAATCTGCTGCTAAATTAAGTACTTTTCAAAATTTACGAGTTGATGAATTTATTAAATTTGCCCAACACATCCGCCTCCGCACGACCGGATAAATTATTAATTATATACAGCACGTAAATAAATATAACTATTTAATTCTAGTAATATTATTACATCTGGCATCTCTAAATATTAGCGCAATTCGTGAATTATAGACAATTAAAATCTATAATTTCATTACTGGTATACGTTTAAATGAAATATTATTACCAGATCTTGCTTTGCTAATAATTTATAGATCGTATTGTTATTGAACCTGTAATTAATTTTATGGTGCTTTTTGACCCGAATCGTTCTAATTGAATTTTATATAGCTCCACATATTAAACAAATTACCCGACATTACGCCTCGACTTTTTTCTATTAGAGTTAATAACTCAATTATTTAAAAACAACTTAATTTGCGCTGCTTACTCGATTCAATATGGTATGTTTTTGCTGATTTGCCGCAGCATTTGCGGCGGATTAAAAGGATTGGAAGTAACTTTAGAAGGTCCTTTATTGGAACGAAAGGAAGATAAAAGCTTCCGAATGCAAAACAACCGCGACAACATATAAAAAAGCGTCCGCAACGGCACTAAAATCGAAGGAATCGAGTGTCGCAGCCGAAGATTTAACACCAGTTGTGTGTTTCTGGTAGCAACATTCCGCTTTTATGAGGGTAATCTTTATCTTTAGCGCACTTAAAAAGGCCAGCGAGTCTGACCGAATGATATCGAATACTTTCGCAACGACTTTCAGGACCTTTTATGGATCAAAAGAGGGATGGATTAAGGGGGTTGTTATAACCTGAAGTCAGAGGACTTGAGTATGACAAATGAGAGCAGTTATTTTGGGATTTTTTTTAGTAGCGCAGATAAAGGGGTGTTTTATAATACTTAGAATCTGTGGGTTTGACTTTTGTATATCAATTTTAGTCGTTAAATTCATTGCAGAAATTTATTATATATTTATTTATATACAAGTGTGCGCAACAAGTACCAGACGAATGTGTTTAGAACCAAAAATACTTTTAATCAGGTGTGAAAGTACTTTTTTGAGGAAATAGATACTCTAGCAAAAATTCACACATCATATCACTACTTGAAACTGATTGTCTTTGAATAGGGCAATATTGTATTTTCTCTTCCACCTACAGTAAATTGACAATTAGGAACAAAGAGAGATAAGGTAAAAAGACTCTATATATAATGAATTGATGAAAGTATTCCTACATTACTAAATCGAGTGTATTCGATACTGCAGACAATTAGAAGAGAATGGGTAGGTTTATTAAACTAAGTTTCTTACGGATCATATTTTAATTAGATTAATTTAAGGTTTCAAAACTGCTATTTTCTTTTTGGTGGTTGTTGCTTCTACAGGTAAGTAATTTTTTACCTCATGCAATAATTTGATTTCATTAACTTAACTTTTGAATTTTATTAGCAATTAATGCTCTGGGAGCTGTGGATATTGACGCAAGTTGTACCAATGGCTTTCCGAATTACCGTTTCTATCCTTATGATTGCCGGAAGTACTTGGGTTGCTTGAGCGGAGAAACGAAAATTTATTCCTGTCCCACGAGTTTATATTGGAACGAAGAAATTAAAGCTTGCGATGTTGAAGAGAAAACTGATTGTTGTAAGTGAGAAATAATACACATTTAATGTGTTTATTAACTTTATAATTGTATAACTGTAATGTTGAAATTATTTTTTTTTGTTGTTAATGTAGTGTATTTTTATTTCAGCTCACATAATTCCATACCCAGGTAAGTGTAAATGAAATTTCTTTTACTTATTTTAGTGTAGGTAATAATAAAAATTCTTGGTTAATTCAGTGCCAGATTGTCTTAATGCCACCGAAAGATACTACGACTATCCATACGATTGTGCTAAATTTTATGAATGTTTCGGAAAGAAAGCATATCTGTTAAATTGTCCCTCTAACTCTTTGTGGAACGACAAAATTAAAGAATGTGATGATCACGATAAAGTCGATTGCTGTAAGTAGATTTCTATTTTATCAAGAATTATTTGCATCATATGTTTATTCAAGCATTTAGGTACAAACAATTACTTAACATTTTACATAATACGAGTAGGTAAGTAAATTAGTAAAATATTTTTAGCTAGGGTAATTCCATTCCCACCGACAACTACGACTACTGCAAAGCCTACCACTCCAAAACCTACCACTCCAAAACCTACCACTCCAAAACCTACCACTCCGAAACCTACCACTCCAAAACCTACCCACGCACCCTATACCACACCGAAAATAGAATGCACTACGAAAAGGGAATACTATCCATACCCATACGATTGTCAGAAGTATTACGAATGCTCTAATGGGAAAGCGGTTCTAATGAGTTGCCCTGGAGTCTTGGACTGGAATGACAAGATTAAAACGTGCGATCAGCCTGAAAATGTTGATTGCAGTAAGTTAAAAAATAATCATTGATTTTAAACGTTTGTTTCATTATTTTATTAACGAATATGTTTCAGGTCATATTATACGAATTTGATTTGCACAAGGTTCATCAACACAAATACCTAGACAATAGCTAACTGCAATTAGCTCAACTCAAGCACAACTTTAGAGTCCCATTAAGTTAATTCAAAAATAACCTTCTAACCCAATTAAACAAATGTACATCCGTAATAATATGATTATCCAAAAATGTTTTGTGTTGATTTCAAAGAATATAATTGCTAATAAGTACTAAATATTTGTTGAATTTTTTTATGAATCCTTTCTTTTTATTTCATCCCACGTTCACGTATAATTATTTATTAAGTACCAAAAGAATGTGTTTAGAACAAAAATACTTTTAATCAGGGTGATAGTTTAGAAAACAGATACTCTAGCTAAAAATCATATCACTACTTGAAAATGATTGGCTTTGAATAGTGCAATATTGTATTTTCTATTCTAAGTACATACACCGAATTGATAATTAGGAACAAAGAGAGATAAGGTAAAAAGACTCTATATATAATGAATTGATGAAAGTATTCCTACGTTAATAATTCGAGTATATTCGAAAAAGCAGTCAATTAAAGAAAATGGGTAGGTTTATTATACTCGTAATCGTAATTTAATTTCAATTGTATCTATTAATTTAAGGTTGCAAAATTGCTATTTTCTTTTTGGTGGTTGTTGCTTCTACAGGTAAGTAATTTTTTATCTCATGCAATAATTTGATTTTGTTAACTTAACTTTTGAATTTTATTAGCAATTAATGCGCTGGGAGGTTTGAATATTGACCCAGAGTGTGTCAATGGCTTTCCGAATTACCGTTTCTATCCTTATGATTGCCGGAAGTTCTTGGGTTGCTTGAGCGGAGAAACGAAAATTTATTCCTGTCCCACGGGTTTATATTGGAACGAAGAAATTAAAGCTTGCGATGTTGAAGAGAAAACTGATTGTTGTAAGTGAGAGATAATACACATTTAATGTGTTTATTAACTTTATAATTGTATAACTGTAATGTTGAAATTATTTTTTTTTTGGTATTAATGTAGTGTATTTTTATTTCAGCTCACATAATTCCATACCCAGGTAAGTGTTAATGAAATTTCTTTTAGTTATTTTTGTGTAGGTAATAATAATTCTTGGTTAATTCAGTGCCAGATTGTCGTACTGCCACCGAAAGATACTACTACTATCCATACGATTGTGCTAAATTTTGGGAATGTTACGAAAATAAAGCATATCTGTTAAATTGTCCCGCTGACTCTTTGTGGAACGACGGAATTAAAGAATGTGATGATCACGATAAAGTCGATTGCTGTAAGTAGATTTCTATTATCTAATTTTATCAAGAATTCCATGCATCATATCTGTATTCAAGCATTTAGATACAATTACTTAAAATTTTACATTATACATAAATTAGTCCAATATTTTTAGCTGGGATAATTCCATACCCACCAACACCTACGTCTCCAAGACCTACCACTCCAAAACCAACCACTCCAAAACCTACCACTCCGAAACCTACCACTCCAAAACCAACCACTCCAAAACCTACCACTCCAAAACCAACCACTCCAAAACCTACCACTCCGAAACCTACCACTCCAAAACCTACCACTCCGAAACCTACCACTCCAAAACCAACCACTCCAAAACCTACCACTCCGAAACCTACCACTCCGAAACCTACCACTCCAAAACCTACCCACCCACCCTATACCACACCGAAAATAGAATGCACTACGGCAAGGGAATACTATCCATATCCATACGATTGTCAGAAGTATTACGAATGTTCTAATGGGAAACCGGCCTTAATGCATTGCCCTGGAGTCTTGGAGTGGAATGACAAGATTAAGACGTGTGATTATCCTGAACATGTTGATTGCAGTAAGTAAAAAAATAATCATTGATATTAAACCTTTGTTTCATTATTTTATAAACGAATATGTTTCAGGTCATATTATACCAACTGGATTTGGACAAGGTCTACCTATGACAACACCAATACCTAGAGTTTAGCCAACTGGAATTAGACCAACTTAAACACAACTTTGAAGCCCCATTAGGTCAACTCAAACATAACCAAATGTTATGTGTTGATTTTAAAAAATATAATTGCTAATACTAAACATTTGTTGAATTTTTTTGTAAATCCTTTTCTTTTTTTTTATCCCACATTCACGTATAATTTTTATTTTAACATCATTACATCATTATGAATCTTTAGCAACAATATCGACATTTACGATCAATATTGTCGTATTCGTTATCATTTGATAAACCTCAAATGTGCATAATGTAACGTTAAAAATTGCTTTCTTAATAAAGTAAAACCAAGGTTATCTGTTCAATAATACAAAGCAAATCTGTCCAGAGGTGTAATATAAAATTTCTAATTTAAAAATGCTAACTCTACCTACTTGACTTTACAAATTTCGTGGTATTGAAGCATCTTCAAATAATCGATTTCACTTGTTTTATTTAAATTTTCGAACTTTGATAAAAATCAATTAAGATAAAAAAAATATATAAATATGAAAAAATATATATCAATACATTCTTCTGAAGAGATCCTGAAAAATGGGTAAGTATTAAATATTTGTGGGCATTCAATTAATGGGTATTAGAGGGTAATTAGTGAGTTTTCAATTACCTTGTATATTTTTAGGTGAACACACAACCATGTTCTGCTTAACGGTTGTCTTTTGCACAGGTAACTATTTGATTTTTTGGTGTTCCACATACAATTTACTAAATGAATTCTCCAGCCATTATTGCCACCTCTGGTCGTATTGTCCTTATACAGGACGACAGTGGAAACACCCAATACTATTTAAATCTTCACAACAACACAGATAACTGCACGAACGGATTGCCCGATTACCGTTTCTATCCCTACAATTGCACCAAATACTTAGGTTGTGAAAATGGAACACTAGGTGTGTTCGATTGTCCGAGGAATCTGTTCTGGAACGAAGAAATCAAAGCTTGCGACCTAGAGGAGAAAACCGATTGCTGTAAGTATCGAACTGTTGATTTCATATAGCGGTTATTAATTTTTAATTTTTATTTTCCAGCGCACATTATTCCCGCAGGTATGTTACAAATCGATCTTAGTAAGTACTGTTAAATGTAAATTTTGGTGTCTTGTAGTTCCCGATTGTAAAAATACAACTCAAAGATACTTCGCTTGTCCTTACGCTTGCGGCGACTTCTACGAATGTTACAACAAAACCGCCTATTTAATGACCTGTCCGCCTAAAACCTTGTGGAACGATAAAATCAAAGAATGCGACGACGAAAACAAAGTGGATTGCTGTGAGTACTTTCGTGCACTTTCATACACAAATTACTCACACAAATTTTTCTTTATAGCTGAAATAATTCCTACTTCTACCAGTAGCAGCCCTACCGATTCTCCTACCACAGCTCCCACCACAGCTCCCACCACAGCTCCTACCACAGCTCCTACCACCAATTCTACTGCTGGTAATGTTACCTCTAGTGATGTTCCTACTCCAACAACCTCCTCCGCTTCACCTGAACCTACACCACGACCCGGTGTTATATGCCTTCCAGGAGTACGTTTCCTTCCTGACCCAAGCAGCTGCAATAAATATTTCGAATGCTCCAACGGAATAGCCTATGAAATGGCATGCAACACAGGACTAGATTGGGACCCAGATCTAAACACTTGCGTTGGACCAGGAATGGTTAATTGCTGTAAGTGTTCTTTAATTTGCATATTTTTTTTAGAAGTTTATTAATTTTTTTTTTCATTTTAGCGTGGGTTACCACTGAAAAATATTCTGCTACTACTAGTAAGTATAACTTCATAATTTTTGGAGTACCTAATCAATAATCTCTTTTATTTTCAGGTTTGTATTATCTTTAAATATTTTAAATATTCTAGCATTAGATGAGCTAATAAAATTAAATTATGTATTAAAAAATGTTTCAATTTATTTTCGTACTTTTTCCCTTCGCACAATAAGCGACATTAAAGAACAAATTGAAAAGTCTGGGTGACCCCGGTTTTATGAAACATGATTATATTACATCGACATCGAAATAAAGCCTTTATTTGGCGCTTAAGAAATAATATAATTAAAGAGGTTAATTAAAGAATATAATTGCTAATACTAAACACTTGTTTAATTTTTTTATGAATCCTTCCTTTTTTTTTTCATCCCACATTCACGTATAATTTTTTATATTTAACTTCATTACATCATTATGAATCTTTAACAATAATATCGACATTTACGATCAATATTGTCGTATTTGTTATCTTCTGATAAACCTCAAATGTGCATAATGTAACGTTAAAAATTACTTTCTCATATGTAAAACCAAGGTTATGTGTTCAATAATAATCAGCAAATCTGTCCAGAGGTGTAATATAAAATTTCTAACTTAAAAGTGCTAATTCTATACTTGAGTTTCCAAATTGCGTGGTTAGAACGTTGATAAATATCAATGATAAAAATATTATATAAATATAAAAAATGTATATCAATACATTCTTCTGAAGAGATCCACAAAAATGGGTAAGTATTAAATATTTGTAGGTATTCAATTAAGTTATAGCTTGTATATTTTTAGGTGAAGAAACAACCATGTTCTGCTTAACGGTTGTCTTCTGCACAGGTAAATATTTGATTTTTTTGTGTTCCACATACTAAATGAATTTTCCAGCCATTATTGCCACCTCTGGTCGTATTGTCGTTATAGAGGACGACAGTGGAAACACCCAATACTATTTAAATCTTCACAACAACACAGATAACTGCACGAACGGATTGCCCAATTACCGTTTCTACCCCTACAATTGCACCAAATACTTAGGTTGTGAAAATGGAAAACTGCATGTGTTCGATTGTCCGAGGAATTTGTTCTGGAACGAAGAAATCAAAGCTTGCGATCTAGAGGAGAAAACTGATTGCTGTAAGTATCGAACTGTTGATTTCATGTAGCGGTCATTAATTTTTAATTTTTATTTTCCAGCGCACATTATTCCTGCAGGTACTTTACAAAACGATTTAAGGAAGTACTGTTTAATATAATTACAGTGTTTTATAGTTCCCGATTGTAAAAACACAACTGAAAGATACTTCGCTTGTCCTTATGATTGCGGCGAATTCTACGAATGTTACAACAAAACCGCCTATTTAATGACCTGTCCACCTAAAACTTTGTGGAACGATAAAATCAAAGAATGCGATGACGAAAACAAAGTGGATTGCTGTGAGTACTTTTAGGCACTTTTAAACATTATTCCAACAAATTTTTCTTTATAGCTGAAATAATTCCTACTTCTACCAGTAGTAGTCCTACCGATTCTCCTACCACACTTCCTACCACCAATTCTACAGTTCCAAGTAGTGTTACTACTACTACTGGTAGTACTGTTACCACTAGTGATGTTCCCTCTCCAACAACCTCCTCCACTTCACCTGAACCTACACCAGCACCCGGTGTCATATGCCCTCCAGGAGTACGTTTCCTTCCTGATCCAAGCAGCTGCAATAAATTTTACGAATGCTCCAACGGAATAGCCCATGAAAAGGAATGCGACACAGGACTAGATTGGGACCCAGTTATAAACACTTGCGTTGGACCAGGATTCGTTAATTGCTGTAAGTATTCCTTATTCATTAGGTTTTATTATCAGTTTATTAATATCTCTTTTAATTTTAGCTTGGGTTACCCCTGAAAAATATTCTGCTACCACTAGTAAGTATAACTTCATAATTTTTGGAGTTCCTAACCAGTAATCTGTTTTATTTTCAGGTTTGTATTATCTTTAAACAATTTAAATATTCTAGCATTAGATGAGCTAATAAAAATAAATTATGTTAAAAATGTTTCAATTTATTATTTTCGTACCTTTTCCCTTCGCACAAGCGACATTAAAACATAATTGAAAAGTGTGGGTGACCCCGATTTTATAAAACATGAGTTATATTACATTGAAATAAAGCCTTTATTTGGCGCTTGAGAAATTTAATAAAGAGCCTACCTATTCAGTAAAAGGCTAATGAATGAAATATTGAGCGTATACGTATGGAAGATTTAATTATTATTATTTTAATAAATGTAAGCGTCTCAAAGAGATGGGCATCATTGTTTATTAATATGAAATGTTAAAATTTTAATTACTAACGCTAATTAACTGATCGGTAGATTAAAAATTTGGAGATTCTAACATATTGGGCGGAAAGGAAATTACCATACGTCCTTGTTATTAATACCTATATCAACATAGACAAATCTTTTCAATTTTATTATTTAACATTATTTTTTGCATGCTTAAAAAATGATAAAAATCATTGAGATAACGTTAGTATGTGTTTATTAAATGAAGGACATGATATAATTCTATATCGTATTGATTTATCATCAATCTTCTGTCAATGTAATGAATTCCTGGAGATAACAGTATTTAGTTACCTTATCTTAGGAGAAATTTTATAAGTATTGCAAAATAGAATGAATTAGTGTCTTGAAAGGGAACCTATTGAGACAATAAAAAAGTTCTACTTTCATAAGTATCTTCTAATGTTCTAAAAATATAGCTCTATCTTGAGATGTTCTCAAACTTTCGAGCTTAGGAGGTAATATAAGAATATTCCTGCTGCTCTATAGAATAGCTTTATTATCTTTGATGATCGTTCAATGGAACTTCAGAAACGGGTTAAACGGTTAATTATTTTTTTTTAATGTTAACAGAATAGGTAAAAACGGTTAAGCGCTCTTCTGCAATCTTAATTATGCCCTTAATTCACGCGGAAAGCAAGATTGTTGTCTCGCGAAAATTGCCGAAATTGAAACGCTGCGGGAGGTGACTATATAGCTTTCTGTACCTAGAGAATTTACGATTATTGCATTTCGCAGGAAATCTACAAACTTTAAACCGAAAATCTATGGCAACTTTCAGCGCTTAGATGTCGAAAATCGCTAGACACCCTCCGGCGGGTTATTTAACGGCCTCGGGCTGTCCTGGATGCAAGCGAATTACTTTTTTTTCCACCGTCATTCGACGGGAAAAAGGTTCATCGATTTATACATCGAATTTTATCACAAAAAAATATACACACGCGAACGAGTAGAATATATACGTCGAATTTAAAAATACCTCCAATGAAATTACCCGCAATCCTCGTACCGGAGCATTAAAACAATATGTCGTACAATTCGTATTGAACTTCGCGTGTTCTACCTTCGAACAATAGAATCTTATTACAAAAGCATTGTTTCCGAATCCCGAACGTAATCAATTTGTGGCTGCATAAAATCTCCAATTTCGTTCGAATCCTTTGCTGAAATCCGCAGGACTGATCCGACGGATTATATCTTGAATTGTTGGCGGCAACGTCCGGTTCCATTCAAAAACGCCATTCGGATATTCGATCTACGGATTATTAGCGAAATATTACCTATTACGTACACAATACCTGACCCGCTACGGTTTGTATTATAGATCCACTGCAACCGAATTTCACGATGAAAAATCGACCTGTTTTAACCTATAGAAATTATTCTAAAAATATTTTCTTCTCTTTCAGATTGACGAATAATTCAGGGAGATAAGATCGAGGATGGCGCGTCGTGAATGCCGAGTCTCCCTTCGCCCAGGAGCCGTAACTTCCAAGTTCATATCGAAAACGCCGCGAGTGGATAGCGTCTTATAAACCATCCGATATCGCGCCGCGCCGGGCCCAAAACATGTTAAATACGGCCCCTCCGAGGGAAAAGTTTGCTACAAGAACAGTACACGTGTCAGATGCATACTAAGCGCCGTCCGGGATTCCAGTTGGAAAGAGTTTTATCGACGAGTTTTCGAGTTTTGGTCTTGAAACGCCACCGGTCCGCTTGTTTATTACGGGCGCGTGACGCTCGGTGAGTATCTCGGCGTAAACGCCGCCCGTGCGGATTTGCTTCCGGGTTTTATGGGGATGCGTAAACATATTTTACTGTGCTGCTTCCGACCGTATTTTTTTTACGGGAGAGTTAATGCAGCCGTTACCCCGTGCGGCTTGTTTTAGATGCCGCGGAAGCCGCTAATTTATCGGCTGCTTTCCAGGTATTTTTTCGAACTTGATTGCGGTGCAAATGCTCTTGATTCTTCTCTCTGTAGCTCGGCATGTCTCTCTTCTGTTAAGTTTTTATTGCGGAAATTCCAAAAAATCCTTAAAACGAAACATAGCATAATTATCTATAGTTTTACAGCAATATTACACTAATTGTGTAATATTTAATATTTGCTCGTTTGCGCGTTATTTTACCATTTTCCTATTCATAAGCCGGAGCTCGCAACGTTTTTAATATTCCCGTATATATTAGTGTTCTCTTCGTGTACACAACAAAAATAATTGCACAATGGTTGTGCTGTATCATCGGGAATTCATATTTCTGTAGCAATTATTATGCAATCAATCATTCGGAATTAAGCCGGCCTGCAAAAATTCCCAATTATTTAAAAATATTTTTTCAGGTTTTAATTATCGGCGACAGTTCAGTTTCAGCGACGTCGGGAAATCGCGTACAAAAATCTAATTTTGATTTGAACTGGTTTCGATTTTCGTCAATTGCAAGTTTTGTTGCTCGAAATTTTACCGTTCGACTGTTCGGAAAAAAAAACCTCAACGTTGTGCATTATATGCATTGTAATAATAATTAGTCGATTTATGAACAAACGAACTGAAAGGCTAACCGATATTACGAAACTTTCCGAAAACTTTTCATCTCGAATTAGCCCGACAACCTAGCCGTGCTACTCAACAAACACATTATGTATAATTTCGTTTAATGGACTTCGAAACTAACGTAGTTCGTTCTACAACAGTGGAGGGATGAAGTTTTATTAAACAATTTCATGCGGTATGAACTTGCAAAGCTGATGGCATCACCGACGTCGGCGCTGAATTTGTCAGTTATGGATGATAATAATAATTTATTCGCACGGACGGTCTCACTTTAAGTATAATTCATTAAATTACGATCAAATGCAGAGCCGGTTCGTTGTAATGATCACGTTAAAATTTCACCGTCCAGAGGGTTTGATCCCTATAATTCTTCATTCGGAATTAAACTTCCGTTAGGCACCTCTTCTATTTACCACCTCTACTCTCTACTCACTATTTCTACTCTCTATTCGGGGATTATAATTTTGGTGTGGAATTCCTGGTGCACCGCGGAAATGATCATATATTTGTTGAAATTTTAATCAACTCGAAATGATATTGGCCTTTCGAAAATCGCAATTACATCAGAATAGAAAACTGAATTCATTTTAACATCTACTTATACCTTTCGGTTACACCGGTATTGCGAAAGTTCCCTCGCGGAATGTAATTAAATGCGTTTTGAGCCGGCAGATTTGCCCCGAAACTTATAATTAAATTTCGAATTATGTTCTCGCTCATTGGCGATATTTTTTCACCGAAACTCCACACCCGACTGACATTGAGTTACTATACGAATTGATGTATTGCAATTATCTAATTTTTTGCAGATAATGGAGGAATCGGAAACGAGACGGGAGCTTCTGCAGTGAGTCGAAATAGAAGCAAAGTGATGCCCAACCATCAGCCGTTCCTCATCAGATCATGCTTTCCATATGCCGCGCAAGGCATAGATTCATAAAATTTTATTTCGCCGTTTTGATGCTCGCATCGCCCGTCCATTCCGGCCCCAGATACAGCTCCAGGATCGTCGACATCCAATCGGGGGCCATCCGGGGCGTCATCCTGGAACTGAACTCCAGGCACCTGGAGCCGGTGGAGGTGAGCCCTTTCGGGATCGGCTTCGAGCAGAGTTTATAAATCGTTTATAAATTGGTTTGCAGGTGTTCCGCGGCGTGCCGTACGCGGCGCCGCCGGTGGGGCCGCTGCGATTCCGGCCGCCGCAGCCGCCGGTGTCGTGGCCGGGGACGCGGCTGGCCGACAGCTTCGGGGCCGCCTGTCCGCAGAAGTATCCGGACGTGACGAACCGGACGGCGGCGCTGCAGTTCATGCCGAAGGGGCGGTACGCGTACCTCAGGAAGCTGGTGCCGCTGCTGGCGAACCAGTCGGAGGACTGCCTGTTTTTGAACATCTACGTGCCGGGGAGCGGTGAGCCCGAATTTACATTTTTTTTTATTATTCTTTTGTACCGTATTCGGCGCGAATTGGATTCGGAGGGAGGGCTTCGTTAGCGGAAACTTTCGGATTCGATTTACCAATTTAGGGAAAACATTTTAATTTGATAATGAATAACATTTGAGAAGTCTAACTTTCGGTTCGAGGATCGGAACTTTTTGAATTTGAATCGTTTAATTGTCGAGAACTCCCTACCGCTAAGAAGCAGGATTTCCTGCCATTGATTTTTAAGGTTTTAATAAAGCAATTAATTAGTACGACAGAATTTTCGATAAATGGGAATATTAAGTCGACTCGAAGGGAATTGCTCATTAGAAGATCAACTTTCTCAAAAGAAATAAAGTATCATTAACTTTTCGCGCAAACAATAAAGGAACTCGTTCGGAATTATCAAGGATTTATTTTATAAGAATTATTATTTAAGAGTAAAAAAACAACGAAGCGCTCTCGTAACGATCAAAACAACTTTTGCTTTATTTTCGTTCTAAAAATATCATTCAATTCGCGATTAAAATTTTCCATTTCGACGTACAGAAATCCAAATCGACAGCATTTTATGTTAAATTACACATTCAAAATTTATTTTCCAACAAAAGCTTAGTTGAGCCCGACTTAAATTTCTCCCTATTGTTCGGGAATCTCCGGGGAAATATATCTGTTTTGTACGCGGACGAATTCGCAGATCTTTACAACCTGTTAATGAATTGCTTTAGAGAAAATTATAACCGTTATCTAAGTGAAAACGTCGGTAAAAGCTTTTACTTGCGGTTTTTAAATGCTCGCTCGAATTTGCACGCAACATTCCCGGACCTTTTCGAAGTTTATGAAACGCTTTGGTCGCCTTGCGGGAATTAAATTTTACTGCATAACTTATTCACAATACTTATTGTTATGTACGGGGACATTTTTTCTCTGTGCTTACGCGAGGGAATTACACCCTCAAGGAGATTACAATTACTCTTCCTTTTGCTTATTTTTTAGCTACATCTACATATTTGTATATAAATGTTTTTTTTTAATTATTAGATGCGTTTAGTGATGAAGTTATTTTATCGTTAGGAAATATTTTATATTTCCGAAACGTTTTAACGGACGAAATTGCGAGTTAAGGGCTGTTGCAGTTCATAGAATCAGGAAATTTAATACGAATTTAATCTAAGAGTGCAATTTGCAATAAAACTCTTTAAAGAAGATGAAATACTTTCCGGCGGAGAATGCAATTTAATAGTTCGCAGTAAATCATTAATTCCACAGCGGGAAAATTGTTCCAATGAAAAAATATGTTTGGAGCAATTTGTTTGAAACGTTTAGTAAATATACAAATAGAGAAGTTTCTCGAGCCGATACAGCCGGATGCGTTGCTCACAAGAGGTAAATAAAAATTCACTTAAGTAATAGAACATCAAACTTTCCGGCGCGTCCGTTTATTCTCCGGCCTCTCGTAATAGTTCAACCGCGGATCCGAACTTTCGAGCGGTTCGGGGCTGTTTTATAGACCAATTTGCGCTACCCACTTCAGCCGGATACCTCGACATTTTTCCGGCGCGCATCGACACATCGAACCCGTCGAATTCCCGAATACATTTCGGAGTTAGAGCGACACCTGGAAGTTCGCCGAAGGGCCGCGCAATTAAGGGCCCGGCTCGCCGGCGCTCGGGCATGTTTGCCCGCCGGCAACTCCGGCGAATAAATAAAGGAGGCGGCGTCCGTGTAATTCGGTGACCGCTCGGCGTGATGGCAGCGACGGTTAGATTCCTCTCGCAGGATTTTCTGGCAGGACGGAGCGCCGCTTGTCAGCCCGCGATCGATCGCTGAAGATCCCTGTTTGCTTTGCAGGAGTACGCAAACATATCGGGTCGCTACTCGGGGTATTTGCGACAAGTTTGTGCATACACAAGTGCATGTAAATTTTTCGATAATATTTATCTACCGCGAGTTAGGGGGTAATTAAACGTGCTTCTATTAATACGCGATTCATTCGAGGAGGCTCCACGAGCGAGCGTTTCATTTGGCGAACTAATTTTTGACCCATATCATGTAATACATGCCAAGAAGTGTAAAATTGTTTCCGGGCTGATGTGCCAAAACAATTATAACCGACTTTGAGGAGGGTCGAATGCGGAGGGTCCGATTTGAGACTGCGGTTTCGTTTTCTCGCCGGTCCGAGTACGCGTTAACGCTAATTCGTACGCGCGTTTCTATTAAACTAATATGTCCGAATCGGATTTTACGCGGAAGGGTGAAAGCAAAAAACCGCTGACCTCGTTTTCTTGCTTTTATCCGAGGGATAATTCGCCGTCGTTTCGCTTTCTGCGAGCAAGTACTCGATGTATACGCAAAAATGGTCTTTACCCGCGCGTTCGCAGAAGAATCCTCCACGGAGTGAGACCGGAAAGGACCTAATATAAAACGTAGTGAAAATTTAATTAAAAGCACACACCTCCTTGCTCGGGGATTCCGGCGTGTGCAGCGTAGCGTGTTTTCGCGGAGAGGCAGGCCATTTTATTTTTTTTACCTGGATTCCAGTTAGGAACGAGACCCCGAGCGAAAGAACGTTTTGCGCGGAAAGCGGTTACACATTAAGTGATATCAGGTATTCAAATCTGCTGCTAAAAGGGCTTTTGTGAGAATTCTCGACAAATTTCTAAATCCTTTGGGGATACGGCGGATCAAAGTGTACCGTGTTATTTCCTAGTTGCGGTTATTTTATTAACTTTTTATTTGCATAGATCGCTCGGATGCTAATGCCTGGATTTCACTTACGTGTGATTAAAATGCAACGGGTACTCTCCACGGGACGGCTACCTTCATTGCGCGCTTTTGAATTATTTGCTATAGACGAGAATCGTGTGAATATTGAATATATAAAATTAGATATTTTATCTGCTTCCGTGTAGGAACAATAATTAAAAATAATATGCAAATTTTTGGGTACCTTTACACCTTGTTTGTCGATTATTATGCAAAACAGCTTGTTTAGTTTATGTGAAGCAAACTAGTTTTCATATCGAATTTTCTAGAATTAATTAATGCTCCCTAATTATAACACACCATCATTACATCCCAGCGGTTTCTAAATGGAACATTCCGCTCGGAATAGCTTGATTGATGATCGGAAATAGAAGAAAATACGTATATACCTAGCTAGTAGCTAAATCTCTCAAAGTACAAACAGAACCGCCGCTTCTGTACGATTCGAATTTATGCAATAATCCAATTTCTAATATCGGTAATATCCCTCTGCCAATTTCGGCGATCCAAATGCATAATATTGATCAATTAGCTCGAGTCGAAGATGAGATTTATGCTAATAGAATAAGCACGAGAGTTTGGTTCTCGAGCAAAGCTGAGTTAATTCGGAGCACGGAATACACATTACATTATTTCATTTATTTCTCGTCTGGAGCGAAATAACCAAATCCGTCTGGCGGAGTTGATCCCCGCGAAAGTGGCGCAGTCCGTGAATTTTTCACGCGGCATTTAAAGTTTCATGGAGGACGTCTTACGACCTCCGTGCTCCTCGATTTACTCGACTTTATTTTATTTTTTCGCGCCTAATAAAACGCCCTGTTGCTATGCATTCGCATCGAATTCGCATTATTTCGGAATAACTACACTACGCCGCTGATGTATAATATCTCCCCCACGTTATGCCTAAATCACTAAAGCTTTTACCTATTCAAACAGTTAATCTCATCTAGGAACTACTCGAATGCACTCGTAGAGCAATCCTTACCGCACTAGCATATGAAATTAAAGCAAACAGCGATTTCAGCGATCACAAATATTCTAAAACTTTATCTCGTGTTAGATGCTTTTTAATGGAAACATATTTGCTGGCTGTATATTAGGTACTTATACACGCAGTCTCCACAATACACAGCGACAATAATATATGACATAATCCATTTAGAAACTTAAAGTTTGGTGTTATTCAACGAGCAAACATAATGGAGCAATAGTAGAAACCAATTACATTATAGCACATTTAACAAAGCAATAATATGAAGGTTATTCCCGAGTAAAATCCCAGTAATATCGTCGTTTCCATACGAGATTATTGAATTCCCAGATATCATGGTGGTCGAAGACGACGACGCCCTCCCATATCTAATAACCAGTAATACAAACTTTCTAGTTTAACGAACAACAACGCCATTAGTACCAGTCTGAAACTATTGTGTCAAACTAAGTAATTATAGCTTGAGCTTCGGGAACTTGTTATGATAGTTGTATCAAGGAAAGTTAAACCATGTTTGAGAACAGTTTCGGCGCGAAGGAATAATTAAAGATGTGGTAAGATGCTCATCATTCCGTTTAAGTGTACGAAATTTCGGTAGTGACCATTACGAATAACTGGAATAATTTCCGTGCTACTTGCATCGTTTTATGAACTTTAATTTAGTTCACGACCGCTGTCGAGCGAGTGGTTTAATTCAATTTCGAAGTGTATCGAATAAAGAGAGCTTGATGTATTTGCGTTTCGGTGGAAACAGTCGATTCGCAGTTTCTGCCATTGTTTATTTCTCCTTTTTCTGTAAATTTTCATTTGTAGCGAACGTCACGAATTTCCCGGTAGCTGTAAATAATGTCCGACCGAGCGAATATTATTTTCTCTTGCACACTTGCGTCAAATGACAAATGATGCGAGATCAACTTCAATTTCGGTTCAGGGAGTTCGGACCGTTTTATTTTCATTTCCTAAAACTTACATCAGATTTTCATGATGTCGAACATCCATTTGAGGAGCTTATTGAATTCGCGCTCTGGTACTAGACAAAAATCTTCTCCGAAATGGTATTATTGGCGCACATTCGAGCCGGTATATTTCCCGATGTTCGGGAAACAAACTTTGTGAAAAAATTTTTGTGTTTATAAATTGCGTTCGTGTACAATTACGATTGTATGGAGCATCTTTAAAGCTAGATATAAACGAAGCGTACTAATTTTCTTCTGGTCCGAACGAGGGAATG